AAAGTTACATGCAGCCAAGATATTCAAGATCGCATTGTTCATGCAAAATTATAGAAAATGTGAAGGATGCAGGAAGAGACTCTGACAGCAGTAGATAGTTCTTGACAAAGTGGTTCCTCGTTATGTGAAAGTATGGTTGCAACTCAAACCTAACTTTTATCTTTGAAAAGCTATTGGACCGGCATGATAGTTCGTTGATATATTTGCAGAAAAAAGTATGAAGCCAAGTGCACCGCCACAGGTTACTCTCATAATTGCCAAGCAGAAGCAGATTTATTTCTTACATAGAATCTGAGCTATATTGGAGCAGGTCACGCAAGCCGCGAAGCATTCTATTTCATTCTGCTGACGTATAGGAGATGCGGGCCAATGCTCTAGTGAAATAGCGCTGAGAGTCGAAGAAACTTCGTTGAGGGTCGTACGTGGCTGCTCATCTCATATGCTACGGCCCATTGTCGCGACTCTCACATCAGAGCAAAGACGACGACGACGAAAACATCAATGACTGCTATTTGCCTGGGGAAATACTATACCAGGGTTTTTCGATGATCCTTTACCTCTCTAGATCATTCACATGCAATAAATCTGAATTGATCTATCGCATGTGAGCCTGCATACTACGCGCGGGAACGGACGACACCCTCACTAGTAACATCTCAATTGAACATTTTGTAGTGTAACAAACTGTAGAGGTGTATGCTATAGTAATTACTGATATCCAAACAAACCAAGAAAAGACAAGAAAACAGGGAATTCACTGGAGATGAGCAGGCTCTCATCTTATAACTCACCAAGTAGCATGCATGGTGCGCGGTTCGCATATCAAGTTACAAATGACTCGAGGACGAACGGCGTTGCGCGAGTGAGATAATATTTCAAATATTAGTCATATATGGCACTTAATCAGAGTCTCGCTTAAAGATAATAAGTTGGTTTTTTCACAGAAAAATTGCGAAATGAATCATGGAAAAAAGTTGTACACTGATATGCCTTTTTAAAATTTGCAAAGAAATGACCAGGCACACTTTTTTCGGACTTGAAGGCATAGAAGCGCATGAGGAAGAGGCTGGAGCGGCTCATCGCTTGGCAACGCCTCTCTCTCTTACCCCTAAGTGGCTCACAAAGAAGAACTTGGCTGCGTGAGCAGCGGATCTGAGAGCATTAGTCGACGCCAGTGTTGCAGAAAAAAGTACTGAAAATACGAGCTGTGTCACCAGGACCTGTGAGTCTTCAAGCATGATCGACGTGGGCCAATGTAAGCCAATGTAAGCTGAAGATAAAGTCATTTTTTCCATGGTAGAGCAGAATAGAACGGTAGACATCGCTCAAATGTTTGGCCATTGAACCGTAGTGTAGGTAATTCCTCTTTCTACTTTTCCATCCTCAATACTACATTCAATATCAAAAACTAGTGACATGTTTGTGGGTAGAGATATACGGACTTTAACATGAAACATATAGCATGGTGATAAATTTATGCAGAAAACAGAGGAACGTTGACTTCTATCGCAGTATGGTTACTCTATCTCGCAAACTTCATAGATATATTAGGTCATTTCAAAAATTTGTTCGCCACTTTTTCAAATAACCAGATCTTAATTTCTTCTCTATGGATTTTATAAGCTTAATTTTATTTGAAAGAGAACATGCTTTACAGCAGTATTTCTGCCATAATAGTATGAAAATAATCGAAAGTCATAAGCAATTGAAGGAAATTACGCAAAATCGACATTTTCCAAGCAGGGTCACGAAATATTCTGAAACTATTTTATTTGGAAGAGAAATTTTTGCACGTAACAGTGGCACCTTTTCAACGGTTCAGTATGAGGTACTTTGAAAGTTAGAAGCAAATTAAGAGAATTGCTTTGATTATGCAATGTTCGAACATGCCCAAAAAATCCAAAAACGTCACAGCGGAAGCCAACAAGAAAATCCAAAAACTCACAGCGGAAGCCAACAGTCATAAACATACTTCTATGACCTCCTATTTCTAGCTGAGTGGTGTATGAGCCGATCGGGAGCAGGTTGGTTTTCATGGAAAACGCAGAGCATTGTCGTAAAAAGTCATAACCCTTTATGTGAATGTCTGCTCAGGAAGCCTTTTGCTTAGTTAGAAAGACGAGATCATGGAACACATGTCTGTGCTTGCTTCGGTATTTGTGAGGTTGTGGATGTTTTGTGAGCTTTCCTAAAATTACCCAAATTTGTAGTCTTACTATTTTTGCATCTTTAACTCTGCGACTTGTGCTTAGTAGGATGCATTTGAATTATAGTCAAAAACCACATGATTTTCCATTCCAAAAAATCTATCCCATCCATCAAGATGCAAAAACGCGTGAAAATGCAACAAATGGCATTTTCGTGGGTATTTCAATCGAGTTTCCCAAGATGTAGAACTTAGCAGCGGTAGCATCGAATAGTTAGTAAGCTAGAAAACTTTGTCTGTATTTTTGAAAGACATGCATAGCTCTACATCGGGCTTTTATATTGGTGGCCTCTGGAGAAATCGTGCCTCTTGACCATCTCCCGCCTGATCCCAGTGATCCGAAAGTGCCTACATCTTGAGGTCGGCTGATCTCTGCTATATTTAACTAATATATTATAGGTACTCCGCGTGCTGGCTTGATCAAAGTTATAGTAGCCCTGCTCAAAAGTCCTCTCAGCTGAACTGACTCACAAATCCCGTGCAGTAAAGATAAACAAACACCTTAGGGTGTATCCGGCAAAACTTTCTCTTTTTCCAGCTGCCGTATCCACAAGTATTACAGCCTTTTATTTTCACCATATCTGAGTTTCCTTATTCTTCTGAAACTTTTGGGGGAGCTTTGATAGCCAGCGGTTGGGCTTTTCTCAGACAAATCACGGGAACTTCCCGAGGACAAGCTAATTTGCGAAACTTCCCGAGAGCATGATTTAGTATTGATTGTGAGTTGAAAGAAGGCGGACAATGGGAACCTCCCAGAAAAATGACGTCAACAGCAGTAAAGTTAGAAACTTTCCGGAAAAATCCTCGGGGGCTTCCCTCAAAGCAGTCCTTTCCCGAGGCCTTAATCATGAGGGAACTTCCCAGAGTTGTATATGATGAGGTCGTTTGTTTTATGTTGTTTGGTGAGTGTAATAACACCAACTGTCAAGGTTTCTTCGCCAAAAGCTTGTTGACGAGAATTACTTATTGTTAGTACAGGTCTTCTACTACCTTTCTTTTTGTGGAGTGCAGAGCATGCCCAGGCTTTAATGGCCACTGCGCGTCATGCGATTTTTCTGAGTAAGTGTAAGAATTTAGATGATTAAAGACTTTATTCATGGACACTTGCACTGTTCTACACATAGTTGAGTATGTGTGTGTGTCTGAGGGAGGGAACTACAATAAAACCTCAATCATCCTTAACTTTCTTCTACAAATACTCTGTACTGTTCTTCGGAATTTATTGCAACGGTATTGAGTACTCTTCCAGTTAGGCAATTTGATAGAGATTTGCAGAGAAATTTTTGTTGTTTCAAAAACGTTAAAACCAAATGACAGGATTTGCGTTTGATCAGTCTGCTTACTTTTGAGACAAACTTTGTCACGATTTTTTTTTGAAAAAAATTGAATGGTTTAATTTATAGGCGGCAAAGGATCCACCGCTCATATCAGGAACAGGATGTTTTTCAAAGTCACCGATCTGACATGAAAAAGCTTTTAGAATGGGTAGTTGTTTATATTTCATTCGTGATGATCGGCATCGCGAGGTAAGTTTCAAAGCCATTATTTTGGAACTACGAGGAAGGCGTGTAGATAGTAGTGCCAATGCGAGCCTTTGCGAAGCAGACGTGACGCACTGGTATATCTATAAAAGTCAAAGAATGTGCAACGCTGGACCGTATGTTTTTATAGACTTTCTTGCGCGTGAACCAACTGAGCTGAAACTTTGCACATATATGTTTTCGACCCTGTGGATGGTTTTAGGTTGCCCTTTGAGGCGATTTGCTGAGATTTTCTATCGATTTATTGATTTTTGGCACCTAGCAATAAAACCGAAGCCTTATCAACCGCAATCATACCGCTTGCACATTTTGGTGTAAAAAACAGCAGAGAAGCCCATTCTCAATTTGCGGTCAGAGGATGCGATACGTCCAGATGATGCTGCTTTGAGGTAGGCATCTGCAATTATAATGCACCGTGCAGGTGGATATAGGCTGCCTGACCGGAGAAAGGAAGGGGGGGGGGGGGCAGGAATGCAGCAGATGGAACGGGATGAAAGATAAAAGGCGTAGGTTTTGAAGCAGAACACATATTTTATGCACTCCCTCTCCTTCCTCTGGCTCTGTGGCTCATGAACCGGGCAAGACCGGGTATGCCAGCTAGTATACAATAGGGATAATCAGAGAACAATCAAAGATGCTTCGCAGCGTGCCATCAATAACATGGTTGAAGGTGCACAAATTGGGACATTCCTATGAATATAAATAAAAGCTCTGTATTCCATGTTGGAGCTACTGCAGTTTATGAACACTATGAGCATGCGGAAGGTTCTTTGGTGAATAAAACATCTATACCAAAGACTTAGGTGTTGTAGTTAGCACCCTGAACTAGACGCGCAAATTTCAAATGTTACTTCTCGTGCATTTTCAATTCTGTACACCATTTTTTGTAATATCACAGTAGCCGGTTCCAAAATATTAGTTAAATTCTACAAAGCATTTGTCATCTTTACTGTAGAATATGCAAGCCAGATTTGGAGCTCCTGAAACAATTTGCCATTTCAGTCCAGAGGCATTATGAGCTCGGAGAGGCATTATGTGATATCTTGTCTCGATTTTGGCACAACCGACTGCCATCACTCTTATTTATTTTAATCAGCGACCGATTATTACATTAGGTTTTCCGAATGATTTATGCTATCACACATTACTTAAGAAATGAAAGCAAGCGCTAACATCAGTTACTCTGGTTTTTGTCAGCGAGCGGTAGGGTGATCTCTTTACTCCGCATACAACGCCTTACGAAGACTATTCAGATGGATTCTCACAATCCGTACACCCATACTTCTTTCGTCCAAAATCCAAAGGTTAGTTATTGGTAACGACATAATCCTTGAATGTGCCCGCCAGCGTCGGGCGGTCTTCCGTTGCAGTGACCCAGTCTGTTGCAACTGCTTGCTGGGCATCAGGTTTGATGGTAAATTTTTCATCCTTTCCGCTTACAACTCGAAAATACGGCAGCACTCGCCGGTCGTTCATGCCAGGCCATTCCGAGGGCGCGTCGATAAGCACTCGTAACCTCTTGACAAGACCGCGTATGAACAGACAAACTCCCAATAGCTCCATGATATTTATGCCATATGGCCGCGGGTAGCGGTTCGCATTACTTTTGGGGCAGAGTTGGTCGAAAGGGTAGTGCCTCTGACTATGGCGAGGAAGATCACAGGTTCGGTTCCGCGGTGGGCCTTTCTTTGGCAGAGCTGTTACCCCACAAGTCCAGCGTCAGCCTGCTACCCCAGAGGAAAGCGAGCGAAAAGCAGGCTAAAGAAGGCAATTTGTCGCATCAGATGCTCTTTTATTCTCATCAAGTGTTCGGAGTAAAAGCTAGGGTGTTTCCTGTAGGCGACACACATTCGAGGTTGACGGATGCGAACAGTATGCTAGGGTTACCGTTTCAGCGGGTGAGCGGGGACGGTTGAAGAAGCTAGCTTACCATAGACGAATATCTAAGTCTTCAGTGACGCTTCGACTAGCCACCATCAACGTAGGTTCCCTCACGGCACATCTAGAATTTGCGAATATTCTGAGATGGCGTAGAGTTGACGTCGCCTGCATTCACGATGGAAAGAGGAGAAGTCGCGTGATATAGGAGATGGCTTCAAGCTTCTATACAAAGGAGCAAGTAGCAGCAGGAACGGTGTAGGAATAGTCGTCTGCGAAAAGCTGAGAAATAGAATAACCGGCGTAGATCGATGACTGATGGACTCATGGGCATTAGGATAGATGCTGGGAAGCGAATCTTGCGAATAGTCACTGCCTGCGCTCCACAAACAGGTTGCGATGAGAATGAGAAGGATATATTCTAGTAAGAATTCGACGATTACATAAGATTAGTAGAAGATGGTTCTAGTCGAAGCAGATCTCAGCGGTCATGTAGCAGAACAACGAAAAGATGCAGGGAAATGTTACGGTGTCCACGGATAGGTTCACTGACGAAGGCGAACGTATTCTCGAGTTCGCTAAGGCTCACAACTTGGTTCTCGCGAATACTTACTTCATAAAGAAAGGCAACCTTCACTACGTATGCCAATGGAGGCCGAGCATCGCAAATAGACTTCTGGGGTGTGCAGCAAAGTGAGCTTAAGTATGTGAGGAACAACAAATTTGTTTCAGACGAAGATTGCATATCGCAGCGCAGGCCCCTTCCACTAGACCTGTACATTCCGTTCGACAAACGAATCCGAGCAACGACAGAGCAAGAGAGAACGATTCAAATGGTGGAAGTCAAAGGCGACACTTGCACCAGAGCAGCAATATACCCTGTCAAAACAAGAAGACGATCCAGAACACTCCTAACAAGGGAAGGATGGTCAGTCGAAGTGGCCTTTTGCGATGACGTGTACATCATTATGTAGGGCACAAAACGCTGATTCCAGATCTGTCTTCCTTATCTGCGGCGCTTCCTGCACAAGAAGTTATGAGCTTTATTGGAGAAAAAAATCGTATGCGCAAATAATATAAAAACAGTAGTAACATTATTCCTAGCGCTTAAATGGACCAGTGGTAATTTCCCAACACTCTATAAAGTAAATAGTTTAAGGTGAGATGTATCCACACTCCGGATGTCTCATTCAAACGCTGGGAAAATTTTAGCCAATGTTTTTAACCCAGAAAAACACTCATTTTTTACTCCTTCAAACGCTCATAACTCCTCCTCCAGGAACGCGCCGTAGATAGTGAAGACAGATTTGGAATCAGCGTTTTATGCCCTCCACATGGTATACAATTCATCTCAAAAGGCCACTTCGACCAACCATCCTTCCCTTGTGAGTGCATCTGAGGGGCAACGCCCACCATACAGCTGAGACCTACTGGGGCGTTTAAAACCCAGGAGAGCGAGAATCAAGAAGGAAACTTGGTGTTGGAGGGAACCGCAAGAGATAAATGAAAGATGGCGCGCATTTTGTTGAGATGGCATCCGCAAGCTAAATGTACATCGACGACGCCAGCTAATCCAATTCACGGACCAATGGCGACGATCACCGAAGAAGAAGTCCGCATTGTGATAATGAAGAGAAAAGCGACAAGGCAACAGGCCCAAATGACATCCCAACGAGTTCTGGAAGAGTTGTGGAGAAGGTGGAGTATCCTGGCCAACGCGACTTCTGAACCAGATAGTAAAATCCAAGACGATGCCAAGCGACTGGTACAGATGCACGACGGTACCAATATGGAAGAAAAAAGGCGACGTAGCTGAGTGCTCGAGCTACCGTCCCATCCGACTCTGAAGATCTTTGAAAGAATATTAGAGACGAGACTACGAAGTATAGTGAAGCTGGCACCAGTTATGTGCAGACAGCTGCGGGACGCTCGGAAGACTTCCAGATAAGAGCTGATATACCAAGGATCAGTACTGTACTTGGGCAAATTCGAAATTTTTCATTGAATGAATGAATATCGAATAAATTCGAAAGTCAAGAATCCGAATAAGCGATCGATTAAATTCGAGGTTCAAAAATTTTCGAATGAACGAGTCTCGAATAAAATCGAAAAATCAAGAATATCAAATGAATGAATATCAAGTAATTCGAACATGAGTCGAGTCTCGAACAAATGTTCGAATGATTTATCAAGACCTTATAATAACGGGCTAAGGGTTGTTTACGTGTTTTTGTGTGTGTGTGTGTGTGTGTGTGTCCGTCTGTTACGAAATTCGTAGAGCGTGTTCCAGCCAGCGTTTTAAGCCCAAATTTTGCATAGCGCATGCTACCTTCATGAAAGTTCAACGTGCAAAAGCACGAATAGATTCGTTGAATGGGTCCCTCAGAAATTGCGCGCCAAACGGATCCACCTGGCTTCTGTCCCGCAAAATTGGGTCCATATCACCACTTTTTGCAAAGTCCTGGATGTGTTTGGTAAGCAAATGTGCAAGCGATGGACTTTAGCCCAAAAAGTGGTCAAAAGTTTGCTACATAACGAAAACGGCGCCAGAAAGAGTTGGTTGCGTAAATGGTTAATTTGCTAAGGTTCTAGCTAAGCGTTTCAAAAGATTTTCGCACGGAGATGTAGCTCACGGTTACTATTGCCTTTAAGGGGACTACCAAGCCATGACAACTTCAAAAACCTATTCAAATTTGCGTTTGTCTTCCTACGAAAAGTTTCATCCACGCGAAATCACCGATCTCACGTGAAAAAACTTTCTGAATGAGTAGCTGTTTACATTTAATTCGTGGTAGTCGGCATAGTGCGGTAAGTTCCATTGCCACGATTTTACGAGAATGAGTAAGGCACATAGATAGTAGAGCCAGTGCGAGCCTCTGCGAAGCAGAGGTGACGCACTGGTCAAGAATATCGAATGAATGAATATCAAGTAATTCGAACATGAGTCGAGTCTCGAACAAATGTTCGAATGATTTATCGAACGAATAGAGCAACCATATCTAAAATTTGCTGACATATCCGGCTAACATATCTCCTATACCAACTCCTAACTCAAAATTTTCCAGAAATCGGTGAAATCGACGAAATAGATTCTATAATCAGCACCCTCATTTACCCCCTGTACCAACTCCCTCCCTCGTGGGTCAAAGTTCTTCAAAAATCGATAAAAGTAAGAAAGTAAGTTTTTATCCATAATCAGCAGCCCCCTTACCCCTCCCCCCACCCCTTCTGTACCAACTCCCAGCCCCGTAGCTTCTTCCAAAAAATCGATAAAATTGGTCGGTTGGCAACTAGTCTATACATCGGCAAAACGTCATATTTTACTTCCCATTATCTACTGGACTTATTGCAAGGTCTCAGACAATAACTCGGACGAGCGGCGGGCCATTACCGGGCGGGCGATCATGCCTCCCGCCGCTCGTCCCCTAGAGGCACGCGGGCCGCCCGCTACAGATATAAAGCGGACGAGCGGAGTACCTTTAGCGGGCGAGCGGAGTACCCTTAGCGGGCGAGCGGAGTACTTCCCTCCACTCTCCCGCTAAAAGTACTCCGCTCGTCCGCTCGCATCAAAGCGGACGAGCGGAGTGCCTTTGGCGGGCTAATATCTATATATTGTCTCGCTCTCCCTCTAGAGATATGCCTCTTCTGAAGACTGCACGGATTTGACAGCTTACTGTCATTGCGTTAATAATCTCTCCTTTCTTTCCCTATGAGCAGATGTGCTAACGCCTAAATTCTTGAGATAGATATGTACAAACAATTATTGTAACGTTTTATAGTTTATTAGAAAAGCTAACCACATGCAAAAGCAGATGCAATAACATGCTCAGCGTCATGAATTGAAACAGCACGAGATGATAAACCGGAACAAAATAAGTGTCAACGAAGTAAACAACAAGATCACATTCTCATGAGCGGAAAAAAGGTGCAAAGGTGCAAGCACCCATCTACACGTACGCCAAAAATCCGCTGTTTACCAAAAAGTCTTCTTCTAGAATCTTCACAATCTTTTTTTTCCACCTTCCGAAGCATCTTCATCTCCTGGTGCCGCACGCTTCTGTCGCTGAAGCACATAAAATAATCACTAAATTGTCTATTTGCTGTTATGTTCTCACGTCGCTAGGTATCCATTTCCCCGAGTGGTAACTGTAAGACCGCACATCTCGCCTAAATTTCATAAACAATATGTAGAATGGTGAAACCGATTTTCTTAAACATACAGCGCCATTTGCAGGCATCTGAAGAGGTGTGGCCGCCAGTCCTTTTGCTGCTCCATTAATTCATCCAAAATTTTCTCTCTTTCTTCATCCGTTTCTGCTAGATTTTTGTAAAACCTTTAATGAATTATTTCGTAGTTCACAACAAGTCTCGTTCGTGGAGAGCTCACTTAGAATTCTCAAGATTGACATCCATCCAGGGTTTTAAT